CAACGACGAAAGTTCATCATCAAAACTACACATGGAATTGCCATGAAAAAGGGACTAGTGAAAACAAGAACATCGCAGAAAGAAATTAAACATATCCATAATTACATTACATAAAGCCTATTATTTATTGTCAGCATCGCAAAAATCCCAAAGCTTGAGGGAGATGGAGAAATTAGGCACAATAACGTGAAGAAAACACGTGACCGATTAAGCTCACCTCCTCCTCCATCGTCCTCACCAGGAGCAAATGTGTGAACGCTGACTAAGTTGTATGCACGCAAAATGAAGTCTGGCGAAGGGAGAGTTTGAACTTGCACCGAGTAGTCGCCGGAGCCAGGTGCTGTGGCAGGTCGCATGCGGATGAATTGGCTGCCCTCCGCAGAGTCCAACGTGCCGTAGAGCCAACGTTCCCCTACCCCTTGTGCCGTCGCATGAGACATAGGCTTGAGTACCTTGTGTCCAACCGCAGAGCTCCGTTCCACCGCCTTGGGATGGTACTTGATCCATCGCCACGAGGGAGCATCAAAGCGGTAGACACAGAGCACCGTTTGTGTGCACAGTGTGAAGGAGCAATAGACCATCAGACCGTCTGCAGTGTAGACCACGCCTACGGCATGGGGTAGAGAAAAGGTGGAAAAAGAGGCAGTAGCCCATGCAAAGGAGGTGTGTTTCAGATCCAAATCGGGCATCCATTCAGCTTCTAGTGTGGCCAGATCCCATACCATGCCTTTCAAAGTTGCCGTGTTAATTTGATGAATGAAAAGGAAGACTAGATTTTGGCAATTGGCGGCCTCCGCGGTGCAAAGGTGGATCGGGTTACTCTCACTAGGCTCAAAAAGAAGAGTATGTTCCACAGAGAGAGGAGTGGAACTGCTTAACACTCTACCAGTGAGGAGATTGAGAAAGTAAAGGATGAATGAGGAGGGCGAGTTTTGGCGTGCCACAAGAATGAGCGTGGGCACATCGGCACGAGGACGAAAGGCGGCAGCGTGAAGAGGCGAAGGGTGCATGAGGTTGGCAGAGAGAGCTGCTTGAAAATGCGAGCGCAAATTTTGCGAGAGGAGCACTCGAATGGAGGAGAGACAGTAGCTTAGAGTGGCATCAAAGGCAACATGTTGCGGATACCCGTCCAGAAGGTTAACTAGGTGTTGCAAACCCAAGGGACTAAGCAAACCGAGGCGGAGTGATTGAATGAGGGAGAGAAGAATTTCAGTAATGTTATCATCTCCACTCCGGCGTCGTTTCGGAGGCGTAAGAGAGTGCTCGACCCATTCGCAGGCGCTGTTAAGAATCGCGTC